TATAAAGTTTATTTTGTTAGACCTCTAGTACCACTGATAAGTCATAAATGGACGAAATGGCCGTATGGTGCAGTATAATATTTACTTTGTTAGACCTTTAGTACCACTGATTAGTCATAAATGGACGAAATAACCGTATGGTGCAGTATAATGATTATTTTGTTAGACCTCTAGTACCACTGATAAGTCATAAATGGCCGAAATGGCCGTATGGTGCAGTATAATATTTACTTTGTTAGACCTCTAGTACCACTGTTTAGTCATAAATGGACGAGATAACCGTATGGAGATAGGTATGACTCTGTTTCGCTCCCTATCGCTGTATTCCTACATATGACTCCAACACTTTTAGACGTGGATGGTTTACCTTTAGACCTCTAGTACCACTGATGAGTCCTTACTGGATAAAATAACCGTATGGTGCAGTATAATGTTTGCTTTGTTAGACCTTAAGTACCACTGATTAGGCCCTAAATGAACGAAATGGCCGTATGGTGCAGTATAATATTTACTTTGTTAGACCTCTAGTACCACTGATGAGTCCTTACTGGATAAAATAACCGTATGGTGCAGTATAATGATTATTTTGTTAGACCTCTAGTACCTAGTACCACTGATGAGTCCTTAATGGACAAAATAACCGTTTGGTGCAGTATAATGTTTACTTTGTAAGACCTTAAGTAACACTGATTAGTCCCTAAATGAACGAAAGGGCCGTATGGAGCAGTATAAGGTTAACTTTGTTTGTCCTCTAGTACCACTGATTAGTCCTTAAATGAACGAAATGACCGTAAGGTGCAGTATAATGTTTACTTTGTTAGACCTCTTGTACCACTGTTTAGTCATAAATGGACGAGATAACCGTATGGAGATAGGTATGACTCTGTTTCGCTCCCTATCGCTGTATTCCTACATATGACTCCAACACTTTTAGACGTGGATGGTTTACCTTTAGACCTCTAGTACCACTGATGAGTCCTTAATGGACAAAATAACCGTATGATGCAGTATGGTGTTTTCTTTGTTAGACCTCTAGTACCACTGATAAGTCATAAATGGACGAAATAACCGTATGGTGCCGTATAATGTTTATTTTGTTAGACCTCTAGTAACTATATGGCGCAGTATTATGTTTACTTTGTAATACGTTAAGAACCACTGATTAGTCCCTAAATGAACGAAACGGCCGAATGAAGCAGTATAATGTTTACTTTGTTAGACCTCTTGTACCACTGTTTAGTCATAATTGGACGAGATAACCGTATGGAGCAGTATAATGTTTACTTTGTAAGACCTCTAGTACCACTGATTAGTCAAAAATAGACATCGCCGTATGGTACAGTATAATGTTTATTTTGTTAGACCTCTAGTACCACTGATAAGTCATAAATGGACGAAATGGCCGTATGGTGCAGTATACTGTTTATTTTGTTAGACATCTT